AAGAATGTGTGTGGAACCTAGAGATGAATATCTAATATTTGTGAACAAAATTGAAAGAGAGAATGTGTGGGGAAAAGAGAGCGAGTGAGCGAGCACTTGAGAGAATTACGTGTGTTGTGTATGCTTATGTCTTTTTGGCATATTGACACTTTGTCTTAACTTTAAAAAAATAGTTTTTTGATTTTGAATGGGCTGGAGCGACAGCACAGCGGGTAAGGCGTTTGCCTTGCATGTAGCCAACTTGGCCGACCGGAGTTCGATTCCTCCGCCCCTCTCGAAGAGCCTGGCAAGCTACCAAGAGTATCTCACCTGCTCGGCAAAGCCTGGCAAGCTCCCCGTGATGTATTGGATATGCCAAACACAGTAACAATTAAGTCTCACAATGGAGACGTTACTGGGCCTGCTCGAGCAAATCGATGAACAACGGGAGGACTGGGACCGTGACTTGATTTTGGATCACATCTACTGATACTCAGGGGTTACTCTTAGCTCTGCACTCAGGAATTATTCCTGGTGGTGCTTGGGGGACCATATGATCACATGCACTCGACCAGGAATTGAACCTAAGTCAAGTGAATGAAGGCATGTTCACCCACTGTATACCAGCAGCAACTACTAGCAGCAATTGTTTTCAAAGATTGTATAGTGTAGCTTCTCAGCCAGACAATTCAGAATGGTTCATTCTCTGTTTGTGGGAAAGCAGCACGTGCCTTGGTTAATTAGCTGTGAAAAGCAATGTCATTAGCGGCCTGGTACTCATTGTGTGAGATCTGTAAGAGCGTCTTCCACACCTATTCCAGGCTAATCATCAGGAAGCTTAAGGCTGAGACAGCTCTCCATACATCTCAGCAAGCCTGACAGATGCCTTAGAGATAATTGGGCACCTTTGTAGATCTCACTTCTGAAGTACAAAGTCAAAAATCCAACTTTAATGGCATTTTCTACTGCCATCATGTTCCAACTTTATTGGTAGTTTGTCCACAGTGACTGTGGAATGTTCTGATAGGTTCCAGTAAATGGATTCCAATGTGGGTACTAAGCAAAACAACTTCTTTGGAGATTGTCAGCACTCCCCACAAATGCTTGCCATGAACCATTTCCCTGGGAACTATTTGTGCTGGTAGAGTGACTTATTTGGTTAAAGAAAAACCATAAGATAGCATCAAGAACAAATAACATACAGGGAATACACATCCAACAATGTTCAGGGTCTGAAGAATTGCAGATGGAAGTAAGGGTTCAACTGAGGGCCAGCAGTTACTTGATATAGGGAAAAATATTTGTTATTCTTAAGTTCTTCAAAACCAAAGAATCATTTGACCCAGAACCTGTGAGTAAACTATTCCTTTAGCTATTTTCTTTGGAAGGAAGTGGTTGGAGCAAGGAAAGAGTAGATCTCTGAGGGGTCCATGGTCAGAAGACAGATTGTTTATTAACTCTTTCAAAATACTTGAGTATGTTTTTTAAGTCATCAATTATACCATTCCAAACCAACCCCCTAGTGTTTCCTTCATCCCATATTACTCAAAGCAATTGAAGAATAAAGTGTAATGGAACTCTATAGAATCAGGGCAGAGGTTCAGGTTTCCCTTAAGAAATGAAAGTTTCTATGTAGATAACTCATTTTGTTGATGACTTTTAGATAACAGAGCAAGGAGTTTATTAGTTAGGGGAATTGACATGCTCATGAAAGGGTGTCAGACCTTTACAAAATAAGATCTATATTCAAAGCAGCCTTGCTGGACTGGAAAAGTAACTTGAGATATAAGTTGAGAAAGAACAAGTCCCAACCAGTTTGCTAGGGAGGAAATGTACCGTGCAGAATTCCAAGGCCAGTCTGATATGAAAGAAGATGAATTAGCAGTATCTTTACACAGGGCTGTTATTTGTGTTCAGAGGATGATTTCAGCCACAGTGAGTAAGGCAGACATTTGAAACTTTCCTATAAGGATAATTTTCAGGGAAAACCCCAACATTTCTGTTAAAGTCTTTTGGTAGCTAATGACAAACTTGCTTGCAGTAATGAGTTTGAGTTGGAAGGACGTCAATGGTTCCCTTCACTGATGAACTAAAGAAAATTTATCCCAGATCCCCGGACCTCGATCCTGCCCGCCCCCAGCGCTGCCTTCCAGCACTGTGGGTTTGCTCCCTCTCTCAGGTGCGGGACCAGCCGCCAGCGTGCCAACCCTGCGCCTACTACACAGCCCGCCACTTGGACCCGAACCCTGGAGAACTATCAGATGTTCCCTTTACACACCCCCAAGATTAGTATTTTGCTTGATTTTACTTAAAAACTCTGTCTTTATCTTTCCTTAAAAAAGTTGAGGCAATTGTATTTGTTTTGCAGGGTTGTTAGAAATATTAAATGAAAAGTATACATGAAAGAGTTCTCATCAAGGAAATATTAAGTGTAGAAAAGCATGCTTTTTTGTTACATTCAGATATTATTTTCCTGTTATAAAAGCTAGAGGGAACCTGGGAAATAGAGAGCCCCCAAAGCTGGGGCCCCAAGGAAGTTAGTTTTCTGACCCTGAATGAGAAAAATGACAGTCCCAAAGAGAACAAAGACCCCAGAAGAAAGCACAAGAGGAAAGGCAAAAGACTAATCCTCTTTAGCAGGCATAGACAAAGTGTATTTGGGAAGAGGATGTGAACCTTTTCTTTGCTTTGTATGGCATCTAGGTAACAGGGCATGTTGTTTAGATGAACTAATAGGAGGAATTTGAAAAGAAAATGTGAGGGGGTGAGGAGATAGTACAGTGGTGAAGGCATTTGACTTGCATGCAACTGACTGGAGTTGGATGCCTGAAGCAAGTAAACGAGAAAAGTTTTAAAATTGTTTTGACAAGCTAGTAACAATGCAGTTTTAGTCTGGGTGGCTTAACTATATGCCCATCTGTCATCCTCATGATGTCATCCTCCTAGCCCCAAGACTCTGTGACAAAGAAAATGAAAATGTAACATATCAGATTAATTACACAATTGCCTTTTATTCCAAAAAAACATATCTACCGAGCAGTCATCCGATGAAAGGTACTCAACATAGTAGGAATTGCTTTGGAGTGACACAAGCCTGAGCAGGGATTATGGTCCTGGCATCATTTAGCTAATGACGTCGGGTAAGTCAACCAAGTAAGGTAACTTCTCTGAGTGTTAGATTTTTGATCTTTTAGCTAAGGATAGTAATACCTGCTTTAAAATTTGGCTAAGATAGAGTGATATAATTTTCATAGAGTACAATGACATAGAGTTGACAACAGGTAGCTCATTAAGTGTAAATTCTTATTCCTGTCATTGTCAACATTGCTCTTGTCACATCATTGTGTGGTTACAAACGTGAACATGAAAGCACCGCATTTTATTATTTTAGGAAAGCATTCAGGCAATTAGTTTTTCTACTTCACAGATGAGAAAACCTGAAAGGATAGAATTTAGCTGTGGGCCAGTCTTACAGCAAATTCATGGCTCAGTGATTTCTTACATTACTAAGAAAAGTTTGAGAGCATTTTTCGTGGGCAAGATGGAAATGCAATAGGGTTCAGGAAAAACATTTATTTTGTAACTCTTGTGATTTGTTGGTTTTCTTATTTGATAAAAAAGGAATGATTAATTTCATAAGAAAATAGACTTAAATATTCAGAATGGGGTCAACCATGTTTCCTTGTCCTTTCTTCTGGCTTTAATCAGTTTGGGGACATATTCATTGATAGGAGGAAGGATGAGCTTTGTGGTTCTGGGGAATCCCTACAGAAAAGCAGAAGCTTAGATTCCTTGGCTTCAATTGCTCCCTTGCTTATTTCTCTAAATTGAACAGCGTGGCATGGTACAGAACAAACAGGAGTATTCTTAAACAGAGATTTCTGGTCCCCGGACATCTTGGAGAAAAATCTAAGCAAAACCTATGAGGGAAAAGCTGGTAGAATCCTGAATTTACTTCTACTGTCAGTACTGGTGTATTTGCCTTTGGTCTTATTTTTTTTTTTGTCTGTTAAACGAGGGGATAGGGCTAGGTGGCCTTTAAGATCCATTAAAGTGCAAAGGTGTCTGATTTACATGTCATTTAAAGAAAAATATGAACTGGTTAATTTGACCAATAAATCACAGACTAAGAATGTTTAGTTATTCTGAAGAAAGAATCCAGGTGCAACTTAGAACTACTTGCCAGCAGAAAGAATGTGGCACTCTGACATCTCCTTTTTTTCTTGTACAAGCCATACCATCCACATCATAGGATGATGTCTTAAATGCTCCGTGGTATGTCCACTCTCTTGATACCCCCTGAGCCATCTAGGTGACTTCTCTGCCACCAATAACCTTTTGGAAAGTGACTTCTAGACAGCATCCCACTGGGCCTGCTTTACCACTCTCACAGTCCAGTGGGACTCTCCACTTTGGATCAAGTATTGGAATCAGATTTACAAATTGTACTTTTCCACTTTTGTACCCGAAACACACTCTCCCCCTTCCCTACTTGTTCAGTCCTCAACCTCCTAGTCACCTTGTCTATTTATGAACTCTGCCTGAAAGAACTCTTCTGTAGGGTTGAGCTGTCCTTATAGAGTCTTTAGAAACAGTCATGGCATGCTTAAAAGAGAGTTATTTGACTTGAAGAATGTGAGTTTTTCTTCCCTTCTGTTAGACCAGAATTTAAATATCCTCTTTGCACAGTTATTGGGAAGATTAAATAGGATAGGACATACAAAGCACTAGGCATAGTATTAGATTGAGTACAAGTGGCTGAAGCATGGAGTCCATTATTGTTCTTTGTAAAAAAATGGATTTTCAACAGATGTTTGTGAAGCAAACATAAGAACTATCTTTTTTCAATTAAATTCAGATTTTCAAAAAAGGAAGATTTAAAAAAAAAGGATGCTATGAGGACTGTGGATTAGAGGACCATTTTCTTGAAAGTATGCCTTAGAGTGGTCACAGGAGGGGAGGGGGTGCAGGGAGGGAGGCAGAGCAAGTTTCAGGTATAGAGACCCAAACGATGAACTCACCCCTGACCAGCCGTGAGGCAAAAACTGGCCCTCGGCCCAGTATTTCCCATTGATGAAGAAGAGGCCTGCTATCATGATGAATACCCACACTGCTAGGTTTAATACGTTGAGGACATTGTTGAAGCCCACAGAATTCTTCACCCCCAGAGCAACAATGACGGTGACAATGATGGCAATCACCAGAGCCAGCAGGTCGGGGTATGATTCTTCACCTTTCCCTAGAGAGATAAAATAGAGGTTAATACATTGTTTAGGGTGGGCAAAGACGTCATGCAAAGTCCAAGCCCCACTCAGGGCATGTAGACTCAGAGCTGAGAAGAGTCAGTTTGTGATGGACAAAAAAAGCCACTATGTTTGCATATATGGGTGCATGTACACATAATTGGTAGCAGACACAGGCTTCTATAAGTATTTGTTTGCATGTAGGAAGGTTTTGATACAGAGATAAAACAATTTGGCGATCTTACCATGCTATGGAACCAAGGCAGAATATCTGAAGCCAGGACAGTCCTAGGATGTACAGGATGTATGTATGCACCTAACAGGCTATTTGAAAGCAGTTTTATGTAATTTGAACAGTGTTGTTCATATTACAGTCCACCATTCCAAAAGTTTTCTGATCAGCAAAGGAAATACTCTGTGCTTTTGAAATTTATTGAAAGAGAGTGTTCTTTCCATTTGTTTGTATGTGATCATGGGAAAGAATCATCAGTGAACACACCCCACTTACTTGGTCTTGTCTGTTGCCCAGTGGACTCCTGCCCTCTATAGTGTGAAGAAGGGACTGACATCCTAGAGTTAAATTCATGAATTTCAGCTCAGAGACAGAAGTCTAACCTCGGGCAAGTGCTCATTTCTCTGAACTTTTGTTCTTAATGCAAAGGGGTTGGAATATGAGTTGGGAGGACTCTTCTGAACTGAATTCTTTGAAATAAGTTTAGTGACTGGACATAATTGTCACACTTTGATCTTTTCCTGGTGTCCGTCCCGATGGACGGTACTGGATGGGTGACGGCTAGGGAAGAGGCGGGCAGAAAGGTTGTGGGCAGGCGGGGGTGCGTCGTCCCTGGCGGGGCCCGCAGCCTGTCCGGGCGGGGCTTCACCTAGACAACCAGGTCCCCCCACCCTTTTCCTCTCTCTCCATCCCACTCGGCCACACGAAGGGTTTTCTCGGAGAAATGAGCAGTGGCGATGGTGAAAACAAGGTAGAGTGGCAGAAAGCCGCTTAGCATTTCTCCTAAGTCTGAGAGAGATGCTGAAAATGAGTGACTTTCACTCAACCACAGATTTAGTTGTTAAAAGCTCTGGGGAAAGACCTCAGAGCTTCCTCAATTATTGTTTAGCTTCTCATGGATGCAAAAGAATAAGGTTAAACATCAGGATAGAAAGTTGGTGGCAAGAGATGGACTTGAAGACTTATGGTGTTTGTATGTGAATCTGAAATCTTATGGTGTTTGTATGTGAGCTTTTGATAACTTATCACTGAGTTATAGAATCCTTTTTGACTCCTACTAAGACTTAATTTTTTGTTCCTCTTAGGAATATATTTTAATGCTGTGGACGTAGATCAAAGGTGTGGAATGGTACATCTGCCTTTGTATGTGTGAAGCTCTGGCTAAATCCCTGCTACCAATGGTTAATATTTTTTGACCAAGTACCACTGGATTGATTCTGTTATTGCTGGAGAAGCTCTTGTGTACTTTTTTTGGTGGGGGGGGGGGAATCTCTCAAAATGCTGCTCAAAAGACTGGAGACAACTGAGAATTCAGCAACTCTCAGACAACCAGGTTATTTGGTTGATGCTAGGGCTCTGTGGTACTGGGGATCAGCAAGACCACCCAGACCTACTTTGGTATCTCCAGAGTTGAAGGACGTGGTTCTGGGGATCAAACCCAGGTTGGACTTTTCTTATATGCACACTAACTACTGCATTATCTCCAGGGTCTAAAGAATATTATTCAAGGAAAATTTAAAATATGTTCTGATGAATTATGTTCACAGTAATTATTCCTATAGTTCTTCCCTCTGCCTTGGTTTTATATTGATATGGCTTGTAATTTTTGCATCCTTTTGTGAGACGATGAAACCCAAACTACAGTTCATGCTATTACCGGTCTTCCTAGTCATTATTTTAATTGTTAGACACATAATATGCTTTCACAAATTATTCCACTACTCTTTCATTGTAGAATATTTTGACTGTCACTACTTTTTAAAAAAAATTAGAGTTCTTCTGGTGATGCTGGGGTTTGGGGCAGGCTGGGATGTTGGGGATTGCTAAGGGCCTCACATGCTATAGGCATGTGCTGTACCATTGAACAACATCCATGGTTCCTCTAATTTATAATCATAAATAATTGTGATGAACATCTTTTCAGATGCAAATTTTATGGACATTAGATTGATTTCCTTAGGGTGGATTCATTGAGGAGGAATAGGAACTAGAAAATACAACATATACTAAGATTTTTTTGGTACATTTTCTCCAATTGCAATCTTAAAGGGAAATTCCATACAGTGAGATCACATGTTAGGAGAAAAGGAAGGGATATCCTCACCCAGGCCATTGAGGGTTCCCACGGTGTCCACCATCCATCGGCTGATGGTATGATTTGCCAGTGAATCAAACATGCTGCTCAGAGCACTGGCGCCAGCTGCAGTGCCAATCAGATACTCCAGGATCAGGTTCCAGCCAATGAAAAAAGCCACAAATTCCCCAACGGTCACATAACTGTAGGTGTAGGCTGACCCTGTGGTTTTGGGAACACGAACTCCAAACTCTGCATAGCACACACCTGTGTAAGACGAACACACATAAGGACAGTGCCCTTAGGAGATAAGTTAGTCTCTTAGTGATTAATCATTGCGGGTAGAAGGTAATGGGAAGATCTGGGACCTTGGAACAAATACACAAAGTTTTATGAGTCAATTAAAAAGTGACGCTGTCTTTCAGCTTCCCTGGTAGAAAATTTTTAACCTGAATGTCAGAGAAAGCAAGGAGAACCAATTTAAGAGACAATGATTAGAAATATATTTATTTAGAAAAATTCCCATTTGTTTTATGTGTCTCTGTCACTGCTCTTTAAGCGTCAGAAACCTGCATAAATGTAAGTGACTAATTATGAACAGGGACATTTAGCACATACGAAAGATACTTTAATGAACCCCCTTTGAGTGCTTACCATATGCTTGACAGGGTGCTCATTTCTGGGACTACAAAGATAAATGAGACTTGGGTCAGTTTTCAAGGGGAGATAAACCAGGAAGTCAGAGTACATTGTATGCTGTATCAGCTTGACAGTGTAGACATGAACAGGAGCTGGAGCAAAATCAGAGAAGCTGAGACATGTGTTTGATAACCGGCTTTGAGGGTTTTTGAGGGATTGATTGGATAAAGACAGTAGAGTACAAGGGAAAGTGATAGTGATACAATGAAAAGGTTATGGGAAGAGAAGAATGTGAATGGACTCTAGAAGGAGGGATAACTGGGAAGGAAAACAGAAGCTGTTTTCTAAGGTGGGTGTATGGTCCACTTCTAGCAGAATCATCCTCTGAACTGTAGTTAGAGGTCAGCTAGAGAGACTGCGGTATGACAAATTTATGGGAGTTGAATGAATTCACCAGATTGTGTTTGGAAACTGGGTGTGGGGTTCAGGCTTCCAAGTTAGGGGACAAAAGTACAACAACTTGGAGAAAACCCATCAGAAGTGGGATGGAGTAGGTTGAAAGAGGAGCTCAGAGTGAATTTACCTTCAGTTCTGCCTTTTTAAGGGCTAATCCTATGATTCTCTCATCACAAATCAAGAACAATATCTTTGGGGAATAAAGAGAGCATGTTTATTTTTAAAGGATGTGAGATTAATGCAAGAAAGCAAAAGCAGAGAAGTAAACGGCAATGACCCCATACATGAATAATGTGATACAGGGACTAATTTTCTCACCTCAGAGGCACTGTTCATCAGGGCAGTGGAGCAGTAGGGCTGAGAGCTGTTTCAACTATATCTTCAATTTGCCTTTCCCTTCACACCCCTTCTTTGAGAAATAAAGAAATTGAAATGCTCTCTTATGGGTCTTCCTACTCTGACACCCAAAGATTCTGTTACATTGGCTTTTGCTGCAAAATATACTGGATACAATTTAGTTTTACATCAGTTACTGTGTTGTTCTGTATCATGGAGACACTCTCAGGGCTAGCAAGGCCATCTTTCCAACAATAAATAATACTGGCTGCTATTTATTATGAGTTCTAATGTCAGCCCCCACATTTATCCACTTGGTGAAATAATCTTCCATCTCCTTCTTGTAGCATAGACTGCCAATTGTTTCTTCCTGTTGCTGTCAGAGGGTTTACCTTGAGCAGTCTATCTGCATCCCTTCCTAAATTGCTGCTTCCAACAGCTGGTGTTTAAATGTTAGCGTGAGTCAGCAATTAAGAGCTGGTCTCTAAAGGAAGACTGTAAAGACTCTTTGTTTTTTGGGGGGAAAAGGGGGGCACAACAGGGGCTACCCTGGCTCTGCACTCAGGAATCGCTCCTGGAATGGTCAGATGTGCATATAGGACACCGCATTGGGGACTGAACCCGGGTTGGTGGTATGCAAGGCAAGCACCTTATCCACTGTGCTATCATTCTGGCCCCTAGGACTCTTTCTGAAGGAAAATATAGAGTGGGTAAGCACTGAGTATGAGGATCTTAAGATTTTCTTGGATGCTTGGCAGGTATTGGTAGGTACTGTCTTCTCCTAAGTAGAGTTGAGTTTGCACATATAGATTAGGTTGCTCTTTTAGTGCAGAAGGAAGGGATTAGGAAGCAACTAACACCCCCTTTTAGCTCTAGGATCCACAGTTTTAGCCAAATATTCATATGTCCTATGAACGTCTCTCCATCTTAAAAAAACTCACCAATGTATAAGGCTTATGATAACTAAAATTTTTATCAGATACTTTTGAAATACATTTGAAATAGGCATGGATTTATGGTTGCAAATTTAATTTAGAGAGACAGTCACATTTGGTCAAACAAACATTCCCTTCTTGATATTTGATGTACCACATTAAATTTAAAAATGCCCATATCACCTCCAGAACTCATTTGCCTAGGGTGATTAGCAATGGCTGGTATTCACTAGCACTTGTGAAAGGTCAAGTCTTTTATAGCCCCAAGTCAGAGGAAAAGGCCCTGGGATAAACTACCAGCAGATGCCAATATTCTCCACCAATTCTCTTCTGTGTACCCCAGATGATGGGTGATTTGAGGTTGAGCAAAATATGGTGATCGAGGTTTGGGATGTAGATCAGTTCAGGACTTGCCTTGAATGTGTAAGGACATGCACGGGTTGGATCACACACACACACACACACACACACACACACACACAGAAAGAGAGAGAAAGAGAAAGAGAGAGAGAGAGAGAGAGAGAGAGAGAGAGAGAGAGAGTAGAGAATATTGTGGTTTTCAATGTGACCTTTAACCCAATGAAGAAAAATCTGTGGTTCTATCAGGTTAGTAGACAAGCTATCGGTAGAATACTCCAGAAAGACAATGTACAATGTGCAATATGCAATGATCCAGACTGTGCCAAAGAGGGCACTGCCGCACAGTGAATATTATCACCGTATATGTTTAGCATTTTAACTTTTTATCTTTTTTTATGGGGGTTGGTCATGCTCAGCTGTGTTTAGGGGCTATCAGCCCCATGCTGGGGAGATGTTCCTTGCAGTGCTTATGGGGGATCAGATGGTGCTGGGGATTGAACCTGGGCTTTGCACATGTAAAGCATGTCTGTTGAGCTCTGTTCAGCCCTCTCCTTCTTCTCCTCTCCATGACAGAAATTTCATGTCATTTACAGCCTGCCCTAACCCTGATAATGTTAATAGCATTCTCTTAGACACAGGAAGCAAAGATTCTCCATTCAAAGGTGTTTAGGAGAGAGACTCAACTGAGAGCAGGCGAAAGGTGGAGAAGCTTTTATACATTGAAGTGTTCTTTCTTTCAGATTTTACCAAATTATGCCAAAAGTAAAAAGTACTTGTTAAAGGTCGCTTTCCACTGTTGGGAATCAATTTTTTATGAGGGAAGGCAGTAATGGGACCCTGTATAAAGCAGAGAATTGTTATGGTGAACAGTCAATAAATGCATGCAGCAACTGAATCTCAAAGTTAAAGAGAATATCTTACAAAAGGGATTGTTTAAATATATGAGCAGGCTTTTATTATAGAAATCAGTAACTTAAAAAATTTTACTTAAAACAATGAAAAAATAAAACACACTTTTCCCTGGAAAGATAAGAATCTCATGACTACCTACACTTGGATGCTTGTGATTTTACTTAGATATACAGTTTACCATTAATATGTAGTTTAACTTATTCCAACCTCCTTATCCACTAACTGACAAATTTCCTAAATAACCAGAGTTTCTAATTTCTTTCTGTCATGTAACACACATTGGTAACTAATCTTGGTATTGCAGTGAATGACAACACAAAAGGTCCATTTGGTCAGATGTCCTGGTCTTCAAAACAGTGCTGTTTCAATCCAGAAATAATTTAATGAACAGATGATTCCATGTGGCCAGTTTTACTACTAAAGAGTGTGTATAATATGCTCCTGGAGTCCTATGTGCTGGGCATGGTTCTTAGGAATATTTTTTTTTTCTGGGGAGCAGGGAGAAAGAGCAGAGTTATTTTCTTGCTTTATGAAGGGTGAGCTGGGCTTCACCAGGGGAAAAGATGTGTAGGGAAAGGGGATTGCTGGCAGCTGAAAAGGCAACTGAATGAGGCAACTGGCTGTTTAGGGATGGAGGAAGAGGACTATGCAGGGGTGGGGTACAATCATGTGATTGAGGGAATGAGAGCTTTCGAACAGATTGGAAAATATAGGATAGTATAATAAATATGTCTGCAATTTAAAAGCTTTGTGTTGGTTGTGAAACCCTCTTTGTACTAAAATATTATTTGAGAGTCCAGTGAATAAAACAAGCAAAAGTGATGACTCAGAGGTTATCGACATGAAGTTTGTTTTTACTGGCATTCCCCTCATTCTCCACCACTCTGCCACCCTTGAACATCCTCAGTGAAGGTTCTATCTAGCACACTGTGTTTTTATTAGGGAGTATCCTTTTATGCCATAGTTTTAGAAACAGCATTGGAAGGGCCACTAGAAATCATCTCCCTGTCTAGACCAAGTCCTGTAGGTGCTCATTTCATCTCTAAAGGGGACTAGAAAAGTTATTTTGAGGTGTCAAATATTTTATTTTTTAATTGGCTTTTGGGTTACACCACATGGTGCTCATGGTTTACTCCTGGCTCTGTGCTAAGGAATCACTCCTGGTGAGCTCAGAGGACCATATGAGGTGTTGGGGATTGAATCCAGGTCAGTTGTGTGCAAGACAAATGCCCTACCTGCTGTACTCTCTCAGAACTCATGGTGTTAAATCTTAAATTTAGAAGCATATATATTGGAGCGATAGCACAGCGGTAGGGCGTTCGCCTTACAAGCGGCCAACATGGCCGACCCGAGTTCGATTCCTCCACCCCTCTCGGAGAGCCCGGCAAGCTACCGAGAGTATATCACCCGCACGGCAGAGCCTGGCAAGCTACCCGGGACGTATTCAATATGCCAAACATAGTAACAACAAGTCTCATGATGGAGACGTTACTGGGCCCACTCGAGCAAATCGATGAACAATGGGAGGACCGTGACCGTGTATATATTGTCTCTCACAAGTCCAGTTAGAAATGATAAGAGTGAAGAATACTGCCCGTTTTCTTGTTCTACTTTCCTTTTTGAGGCCCA